GAACCAAAGGAGCATTGTGACACAGGCAAAGCCTCATGGAACCAAGGGCACAATAGTGACACTGTGGGACTCCATGGGACCAAGGGGGCATTCTTGAAGTGTAGAATCAAGGACACCATTGTGACACTATGGGGCATCATGGAACCAAAGGTCCATTGTGACACAGCAGGGCCTCAAGGAACAATAGAGGCCATTTTTATACTTTGAGGGCTTGTGAAACTATTGGGCCATTGTGGCACTTTGTGTCCCCAGGGAACCAAGGAGTCCATTGTGACACTATGAGGCCCTGTTGGGCCAAAGGGCAATTGTGGCACTGTGCGGCACCACGGAACCAAGGGACCATTGTGACACTACAGGGCCCCATGGAACTAAGGATTCATGGAACAATGTGGCACTCATGGAACCAGAGGTCCATTGTGGCCTTGCGGAGCCTCATGGAACTAAGGGGAGGGACAATTGTGACACTGTGGGGCCCAATGGAAGCAAGGGGCCAGTGTGACACAGCTGGGCCTCATGCAGCCAAGGGGCCACTGGGATTGTGAGGAGCCCAAAAGAACCAAGGGGCCATTTTGACACTCTGCAGCTGTGGAGACCCTGAGAGGCATTCCCTGGGTTAGGGAGACACAAGAAGCTTCCCTCAATAGCTGTTTGACCCCATTGGCTCCTTCCCCTTGTTCTGTGTCCCTCAGCCACTCCCTCCCTATTCCCCCATTGGCCTCATCTTTGTACTGCCCCCATGGCACTGATCAGCCTCTACCTCTGGAGATACAGAAACCTGGACTCCCCCCAGGAGTCCTGCCTTGTGACCCAGAACATCTCACCGCACAGCTGAATTAAACATCTGTGGGTAACATGCAAAGGCCCTTTTTGCTTCACTACCCTGGGCTTTATTAGCAGCTATTGCAGCTGCAACAATGGTCCATTATGGCACTGTGGATCCAAGGACACCATGGTGACACTGTGGGACCTCATGGATCCAGGGGGCGATTGTGACACTGAAGAGCTTCATGGAACCCAGGGTCCATTGTGACACAGCAGGGCCTCAGTGGAACAAAGGAACCATTGCTGACAGTACAGAAACTCATGGAACCAAGGTGCCATGGTGACACAGCAGGCCACATGGAACCCAGGACACCACTGACATTTAGGGACCTCATTTCTGCAGGGTCTATTATGACACTGCAGAAACAAGGAGACCATTGTTGATGCTATGGAAGCTCATGGAACCAAGCAGCCATTGTGACACTCCAGGGCCTCATTGAACCAGGCAGACCATTGTGACACCACAGAACCTCATGGCACTGAGGGTTTATTGTGACACAGCAGGGCCCATGGAGCCAATTGTCCATTGTGACAATGTGCATCTGAGGAGACCATAGTTACAGCATGTAAGCTTATGGAACCATGGGTCCATTGTGACAAAACAAGGCCTTGTGGAACCAAGGAGACCATTTTGACATCATGGAACCTTTTGGAACCAAGGAGACCATTGTGACATCATGGAACCGCATGGAACCAAGGGTCCATGGTTAGACTCCAGAACCAAGGAGACCATGGTGACAGTACAGAATCTCACAGGACCAAGATTCCATTGCTATGCAGTGGGGCTTCATGGAACCAAGGAAGCACTGTGACACAGCAGGGCCACATGGAACCAATGGTCCATGGAGATACTGCAGATCCAAGGAGACCATGGTGATGCTGTGGAACCTCCTGGAGCCAAGGGGCCATTGTGACACTGGGGGCTCCATGGAGCCAAATATTCATGGTGACACAGCAGGGCTGCTTGTGACCAATTGTCCATTGTGACACTGCAGATCCATGAGACCAGGGTGACACTCTGGCAGTTGATGGAACCAAGGGGCTGTTGTGACACACCAAGGCCTTGTGGAATCAAGGAGAGCATTGTGGCAGTGCAGAACCAAGGAGGCCATTTTGACAGGACAGAACCCAATAGAACTAAGGGTCCATTGTTCTACAGCAGGGCCTCATGGAGCCAAGGGGCCATTGTGAAACTGTGGGGCATAATGGAGTCAAGGACACCATTGATACTGAAACCCTCTGGACAGAATCTTCTGAACAGAGTTTTGAGTATTTGAAAGCAGGTATTCTTTATTACAGCATGGTGGTCACTTGGGCCATCCTTCCTCCATTGGAGTGCATTAAGCATTGAATGAACAGAGTTTTTATCACACACATTCATTCTGTATTGATGAGCTATCCCCACTTCCTTTGAGTTTATTTGACATAGTTGCACCCCTTATCACAAATCCTTTCATGGATCTTTGTGTTTTGTCTTCAACATTCAGTGCCCTTTTTTAGGTGGCTGTTCCTTGACCCCTCCTTTTGAGTAATGGCAATATTATTATTTTGTATAACTTCTGTTGTGTTAGCCTTGCAGAGCTGAGCTGGTATCCTGCTTGTATTGTGTGTGACTTGTGTTTGCCAGAGGTGCATCCTCAATCAGTTTCTCCAAGGCTGAGCTGTTCTGTTCTACTGTCCTTGACAAGAGTAAATGTTGTTCTGTTCTCCTGTCCTTGTCTCAGTGCTCGCCCTGCATGAGGCATCTGCAACCCCCTCCAACCTATGGGCCTGGGGTGGGCAAGTGTTCCTGGGGGACAGGGATGGGACAGCTGGGCTGGACTGACCCAAGGGATGTTCCATTCCATGTCACACCATGATCAGTAATCAACTCGGGGGGGGGGGGGGGGGGGGGGGCGAGTGGATTAGGAGATTAATTTCTTTTTTCAGATATTTTTCTTTCAAAACAGCACCTATACATACAGAATCCTCTCCTGCCAGAAGTTGGTTAAACATTTTCTGCTCGTAGGACATATCCTGTGAATTTGATTTTTTTCTATTTGTGGCTTTTTCTTTTTGTGGTTGGTTTGTTTGTGGGGATTTTGCGTTGTTGTGGGTGGGTCTTGCTTTGGTTTTTTTGATTTGGTTTGGGTTTGTTTGGTTTTTTTTTTTGGGTTTGGGTTTTTCCCTATTGAACTGACTTTCTTCTCATGCATAAGTTTTTTCTGCCTGTTATTGTGGCTTGCTTGGCACCTGATGGCAAGATAAATTTACCCAACTCAGTCACCTTGCCCAATTACATTTTGCAGTCACCATTAACGAGATGAGTTCAGTCACAGACTCCCTGCAATCTGGCAGCATCCATAAAGGAATTGAAAGTACCTTTCATGCCATTTTAGAGATGATAGAAATGTTCCACAGTGGTGGCCAAGGGCTGGTCAATGAGAGATGTCACCAGTGCATGGCTACCAAGAGGACTCTGTACCATGGATGACATTTGACCCTCATTGTTCAGCCAAATTCCCACCCAGCCCATGTTCCACTCCTTCAGCCCAGCTCTCTCCAGTCTGGCTCTGAGGAGACCACAGCAGACCCTGTCCCAGGCCTGGCTGGAGTCTGGGCACACAACATCCCCTTCTGTTCCCTCCCATGTGGGTTCTGCAGTCCCTGCCCTGTCCTGCCAGTGCCTGGAAGGGCTGCAGGAGGATTTGCCACATCCCCTTCCCTGCTGAGCCTAACCAGGCTGTGACTCTCCCAGCCCCCCTCCCTGCCCTGTGTGCAGACTGTTCCATGTCTGCCCTTCCCAAGTGCCCAGGACCGTCTGGGATGGCTCTGGCCTTTCCAAGGGGTTTGAGAGAGGTCCCACAGGGACACTGCCCAGCCTTCTCAACAGCCCTGACACCAAAGGCCTTTTCCACATCCCTCAGTGCCAGGTCAGTGCCCAGAAAACAGCACAGCCCTGTGCAGGTCCCTGGGCTGGTTCAGAAGGGAGGCAGCTCTGATTTCTCCCCACCGACCCTCACTCTATCCAATGTCTCTCTGTGCAGTCCATGGCTGCCCTGAGCATTTTTTCCTGGAGCCTCCCTGCCTGGGATATTTCTCTCCATGCAGTCCTAACCACAACCCAACAAAGAATTCAGGTGTTTTCCCAGAGGACGTTACTCTCAGAGTGAAGCGGCCTCAAGGCCCTGTTTGTGCCACTGGAATTGTGCCAGCCCTGGGTGCTGCTGATGGTGTTTGTGCTCACTGGGGTTCATCTCCCCACACACACACATGATGCACTGCTGAGATCTCCTCAGCACAGAGCAAACATGGCCTGCTGGCCTGGTCACTTGGTGTCCCTCCGTGCAGGGACAAACAACGTCCTGCAGGTGGGGAGAGGCCAGTGCTGGCAATGGTGGTTGCAGGGGCTGGTGTGGGACAATTGCCCTGGGGCATCTTCCCAGGCTGTCCCAGAACAGAGACACAGCCCAGGCCCTGTTCTGCTGCTGCCCCAGGTCCATGTTAGGAGCTCTGGCTGTGCCAGGACACTGCTGTGAGCCCCCCCTGCACACTCCCCCCCCCGCCCCAGGCACTGGACATTGCTGTGCCAGGGCATTCCTAGGGCACATTGCTGACAGCAGCTCTGGAGGGGAGCAAAGCCTCCCTGCCCTGCCCTCAGGAGATGCCCTTTGCTGCTGGAGCTGCTGTGCTGGAGCCCAGCTGTGTCCCAGCAGTGCCCATGGCCTGGCAGGGCCTGTGGCCACAGCAGGGACGCGCAGCAGGACAGTGACCAAGCTGCCAGAGCGCTCCGGCCTTACAGCCACAGCAGGGCTGGCAAGGACAGGGTGGAGTTGGGCCGAGCAGGTGTGGGAAGAGCCAGGGCCATTGTCCCTGGCTGTGCTGCTGCCAGGGACAATGGCCCTGGAGCAGCAGGAGTCGCTTCCCTCCCCCTCTGCTCACAGGCACTCCCCCTGCAGAGACAGGGAAGGGCTGAGGAAATGCCTTGGACAGACAAGTCAGGGTATGCACTTTTTTTTTTTAAATGCCAAGGGAACAAGCCTCTTGCAAGTTTTTGTGTTTCAAAAGAAAGGTAGATATTCACATAGAAATGCTAAGAGTAATACTACAGTATTTTCTCGGAAGCACTACAGCAATAGGAAAAGTTACCATAGTAAAAAATAGACAAACAGGGGAAAAAAGGCTGAGATGGTAAAGAGTTATATTCTGAAGACTGTGTAGCAGAGAAGAGAATTTATTGCTTCTGAAGTTGCAGTCACCAGTTTTCCCAAGGCATCCTTGAGCTCCTGGTTCCTCAGGCTGAAGATGAGGGGGTTCAGAGCTGGAGGCACCACTAAGTACAGAACTGACAGGGCCAGATCTAGGGATGGGGAGGAGATGGAGGGCGGCTTCAGGTAGGAAAATGTGCCAGTGCTGATAAACAGGGAGAGCACAGCCAGGTGAGGGAGGCAGGTGGAAAAGGCTTTGTGCCGTCCCTGCTCAGAGGGGATCCTCAGCACAGCCCTGAAGATCTGCACATAGGAGAAAACAATGAACACAAAGCAAGCAAAAAATAGAACAGCACTTAGCACAGTGAGCCAAAGTTCCCTGAGTTTGGAGTGTGAGCAGGAGAGCTTGAGGAGCTGTGGGATTTCACAGAAGAACTGGCCCAGGGCATTGCCATGGCACAGGGGCAGGGAAAATGTATTTGCCGTGAGTAGCAGGGCATTGAGAAAGGCACTGGCCCAGGCAGCTGCTGCCATGTGGGCACAAGCTCTGCTGCCCAGGAGGGTCCCGTAGTGCAGGGGTTTGCAGATGGACACGTAGCAGTCATAGCACATGACTGTGAGAAGGGAAAACTCTGTTGTGATAAAGAAAAGAAAGAAAAACACCTGAGCAGCACATCCTTTGTAGGAGATGTTCCTGGTGTCCCAGAGGGAATTGTGCATGGCTTTGAGGACAGTGGTGCAGATGGAGCCCAGGTCGCTGAGGGCCAGGTTGAGCAGGAAGAAGAACATGGGCGTGTGCAGGTGGTGGCTGCAGGCTATGGCGCTGATGATGAGGCCGTTGCCCAGGAGGGCAGCCAGGGAGATGGCCAGCAAGAGGCAGAAGTGCAGGAGCTGCAGCTGCTGCGTGTCTGCCAATGCCAGCAGGAGGAAGTGCCTGGTGGAGCTGCTGTTGGACATTTGTTCATTCTGGGCATTGTAGACTGTTGAAAGAAGACACTGACAAGCTGGGACCAATTTCTTTGAGTCAACGCTATGGGATTGTTTTAGTTATTCCATCAAAACTACTTCTCATTCTGTGGGGCCACTTCACAAAACATTTTTATACTTTAGCTTGGCTTTGTGCTACTGAGTTATTGACTCATCTTCAGCATTGCTCTCAGGCTGATCACTGCGAAGCCAAGAGGGAAAACAGGGCTCCGAGTGCCCCAGCGCAGTCAGGCCTGCTCGTCCCACACAGATGCCCTTTACTCATTTCACCTCCCTTTAGTTCAAGGTGATAACACTTAAAATGTGCTTGAAAAATTACGTGGAGCTTTTCAAGACAGGAGTTTCAATTTCTCTAAGCCCTTCTCTCTTTCCCTGTGCAGCTGGACATTGAGGGATACCAAGGGTTGGCCTGGCTCTCTGCTGCCTGGAGTTGTGCCTACTGGGAGCTGTTTCTCTCTATCCAAGCCTTGTCCCTGCCAGTGCTGCCAGAGCCCAGCCCAGCCCTGGGGACTCAGCTCTGCCCTGCAGACCCCTCCCAGCACAGGGCACTGCCCAGGGGCAGCTCCCTGACAGCAGGGCCTTAAGGGCAGGCCAGACAAACAGAGATGCTGCAAGCCAAGGAGCTGCTGCTGCTGTCTGTAGGGAGAGGAGGCTGAGGAGGCACTTTCTGAGGGAGATCAGAGGCTCATCTGCTGATGGCCATGGTGACAGTGCAGGAGTCTCAGTGACACAGCCAAAGCTGACAGCCCCTTTCCCTTCCCTTTAGGAGAAAGCTGAGAGCAGCCCTGGCCATGCAGCACCATCTCCAGAGCAGGAGGAATCTGCCCTGATGGGGGTGGCTCCTTCCACCTCCAACTTCTCCCCTGCAGCGTCCATGGGGAGCTGCCAGGCAGGCTGAGAGCTGCCCCTGGCAGGTGGCACATGCCCTGGGCTGGCCAAGAGCCCTGAGGGCTGCAGGAGCTGCGCTGCAGGACAGCCCTGGGCAGCCCTGGCTGCAGCCCCAGCTTCAGCCCCTGCAGCTGTCCCTGGCAGCAGGAGCCGTCCTGCCCTGTCCCTCTGACAGTGCCCAGGGCAGCCCCGCTCTGCAGCACATCCTCCTCCTCCTTCTGCTCCTGTGCCAGAGAGAACGTGGGAGAGTCCTCCTGACACATCCCCCAGGCTGTGGGGTGTGCTGGCTTCAGGAGATCGCCCCAGGAGCACAGGGGACATTGCCCTGCACCCACACACTCACCATGCACAGGGCTGTGAAGATCTTCCCCCAAGTGAAGTCTCAGCTCAATGTCTTCCCAATCCTGATTGCCTTCAGCCTGTCTCTGCCTGGCTCCTGTCCCCTCAGTGCCTGCAGACAGAGTCCTCAGCCCTGCTGGGCTGGGAGAAGAGCTGGTGCTGGGAAGAGCTGTTCCTTTAAAGCTCAGCAGCACAAACCCAGCACAAGGAATTTAATGAGCCTCTCAGGGATTTGGTGTTGTTTACATCAGACTCAGTCCCTCAGAGAGTGTTCAAAAAAGTTCTCAAGAACTCAAATTTAAAATGAAACTTTGAAGTTTCTTGAAGTTTTAATGGTTCCCACTGAGAGACACAACTGAGAAAGTGTCCCCAGGTTCCAGTTAGAGCAGAACACTGGAGGCAGTGATGACGGCTGGGGACAAACAAGGCCAAGGTGTCTCTGGTGCTGAGCAAAGCTGGATGTGTTTGAGGAATGCAAAGGGCCAAGGCCTGAGCCCCAGCCCCTGGCCAGGCAGATGCTGTCCCTCCCTCCTTGCTCAGGGCTCTTGCCGGGATGGGCACTGGCATGTGGGAATGTGCAATGGCAAGGGCAGGAGCATGGGGCAGCCTCTGCCAGGCTGCTGAGCAGGGACAAGGAGGCAATGAGGCCCTGGGCCTGCAAGGGTCACTTGTCTCCTGCTGCTGGCTTAGTGCTTTCCTTTTTATGGAAAAGAATCCTCTCTCCTTCCCAGGCACCCACTGTGGGAAAACAGGACTCCCATTCTACTAACCGGTATGATTAAGCAGAAGCCATTTATTGTTTACATTATGCACATTTTTATACATTCTAACCCTAATGCATGCACCAATCACACTCTTCTTCATTGGTGCCTCTGCGTTGTCCATGTGTCCTGCACTCAGTTCTCAGAGTTTGTGATTGGTTACAGTCCAGGTGGTTCACAGCCTTCTGTTATCGAGTTCTTGTGGTCTTGGTATTCTGTTTCTCAGCCTTTTCATTCTTCATTTAGCACAGTTTCTGTCTTAGTAACCTTGATTAATTCCAGATGGCTCTGATAAGAATAACTAAAAGTGGTATGGCTGGTGCACAGTGTGGCCCAAGTTGTTTAGATACATTGCTACAATTTCCCCTTCTTCATCTTGCATCACCCAAATCCTTTTCACTGTATTTTCTGCCAAGCGGGTCACAAATTTCACTATGCTGGAATAGCACAAAGCAATATAATAATAACTACTAGTAATAACAAAGCTCCCTTTAAGATATCTTTCAATCATCCAGTTATTACCCATTCCTCAAACTATTCATCCAAGCCCAAATCATTCAGAGTCAATTTCTTCATGTTGTCTTGTAGTTGTTTGAGTTTCCTGTGAATGGAAGAGAGCAGGTTCATAAAACACATTCCTTCAAAATTCTCACACCTGTGTCCATGTGCTAACAGCAAAAAATCTGTAGCAGCTCTATTTTGCAGTGTGCCATGTCTAATACTATCTACATCAGTGAGCATTTGGTTTAAAATAGCTGAACTTGTGTTCAGTGTGGGACTCCACAAAATCAGAGGGTTTTGGGGAAGCTGCACAAGGCAGGCCTCAGAGACAGCAGAACTGTGGTTAGAGGTAATCAGTAGCCATGAGATAGGTCAGCAGAAGAATTATTTAAAAAGTAGAAAAGTAAGAACAAATAGAACAATGGTCTGTGTATTAATGCTTGTCTAGAATACCTTCCTAAGCTACAGAAAAGTTTATCTAGCAAGATATTAGGAAGTTTGAAGCTTAATAATGGAGCTCTGTGCATTGTGTTTTAAGGCTCACAAGCAGGTATTGTATTCAAAATAGGCAAGCATTGTTTTAACCAAAGGTACATGTGCTTATAGTGGTTGGAATGAACTGCTGTCAATGTGCTTTTGCTTTCTGTGATTGGTCAAAAAACTTATAAAGTAAGTTATAACATTAAGTTCTTGGTCAGCTGCTTGGGATGTGGGCTGCTGGCATCTTCCTATTGTCATACCCATGTAATGAGACTGATGCTGAGAAATAAAACAGCTCAAGGCACGTTCCACAGCAGTCCCTTCCCATTTGTGATTTGTACATAGGCCCCAGCTGGCGATATCATCCACATCATCAATAAAGAGATTTCACTGACCTGGCCCCAATCCTGAGCCCTGGGGACACCCCTGGATGTGACTCCATTCCTCAGCTGCTCTCAGTGCCAGGGGCTGGATGAGGGAAATGGTGGGGTGCGGGTAGGGACAAAGTGTGATTGATTGTTAGCCATGAAGGGTCTTGATTTTCATAGGTGTTCAGTCTGCATGAGGAGGTGCTGGGGATCAATATTAACTCAGGACTGCTGATACCAATCTATAAACAGGAAAAGAAAACTAAACAGGACAAAAAAATTCTCTATTCATTGTTTTCAATATAGTAGGTTCACTTTGAAAACACTTCTGACATCTGTCTAACCGCAGAAGAACTGAAGATTTGAATTATTCCAATGAGCTTGTCTTGCTTGTGTGTTTTGAACAAATGTTAATCAGCTTTTCTCGCTGAATTTCTGAACTGAAGAGATCAAGAAAAAAGAGGCCTCTGGAAAAGCAAAATTCGTCACCAACTGTTGGGAAGGATGAAAGTTTGACAAGAAAGTCCCACACATCTGTATGCTTAGCAGAAAGATTTTTAAATGTAGAATCTGAAGAAGGAATAGAAATGAAAGCAAGTTTTGATATGGAAGAAAATAATTTTTGAACCAGTCTTACTGGCTAACCAAGGAGGCAAAGGGTATGTTAGTTAGAAGGGGTTTTTATGGCTTAGAGCAAAGGATAAACCCACCTCAATATCCCTGGACACTGGAAATTTTGGAGATGGAATCATGGTTTGGTCATGGATGTTTCAATGAGAAGAACAGTTCTTTTCCATTTGAAGGAAAGCCCAGAGCCCCAGGGTTTCAGGGGTACATGAGAAGAGACCCTCGACATGCTAAGGGCAGTTGGACCAGTCAGGCCAAGCCAACCAGACCTCTTCCCTGTTCCCTTGGATTCATGGGACCCTGCAGTGTCACAGTGGTGGTGTCATATTGGATCCTTGCTTCCATCAGGCCCAGATGTGTCACACTGGCCTCTTGTTTCCATGGGGCTCCAGTGTCACAATGGTCCCTGGCTTCCATGAGGCCTTGCAGTGTCACAGGGGTCTCCTTGGTGCTGCAGTGTCACAATGGACCCTTGGTTCCATGGGGACTCACAATGTCAGAAGGGTCTGCTTGGTTCCATGAGGCCCTGCAGAGCCCCTTGATTCCACGAGGCCTCCAAGTGTCATCATGGCCTCCAGGATTCCATGAGGCCCGACAATGTCACAATGGACCTTTGGTTCCATGGGGTCCTGCACAGTTCCATGGATCCTTAGTTCCATGGGGCCCTAAAGTGTCACAATGGCCTCCTTGGTTCCATGATGCCACACAGTGTGACAACTGCCCCTTGGCCTGCCAAGACTCCAGAGTGTCACAATGGTTCCTTGGTACAATGAGGTCTGTAGTGTCACAATGGTCTCCATGATCCCATAAGGCCTAAACCAGGACACAGTGTCACCACAGACCATTGGTTTCATGCAGCCTCACAGTGTCACTATGGTCCCCTTGGCTCCACAATGCCCTCAAGTGCCACAATAGCCCTTTGGTTCCACAAGGCCTCCAAGTGTAAAAATGGCCTCCATGGTTCCATGAGGCCCTGCTGTGTCACAATGGACCTTAGGTTCCATAA